CTTTCTTATATTATTAAATTTTTATGAGCTTTTCAAATTTGCGTTGTTTATTTAAAAATGTATTCATAGCTTTTTTTTTTGGATGTGAAGTTAACAATCTTTAATTTACCAAGTAATAAGGTGGATGCCATGCCATTTTTCAAGAAAGAGCTTTTTTTACGTGATAAACGAGCATATGAACATAGCCACAATAAAAAAACTTTATGTTAATGATGAAATTATTTGAAGGTGCAGTGTTAAAAATTGCAAAAAGAAGAAAGGCCTCCTTGTTAAATTGGTTCAGCAGTTCTAGAATATTGTTTGCCACTGGGCAGAGGAGTTGACATCCATGAAATGGTGTAACAAACAGCTTAATATATGTGTGCTGCACTTGACTGGAACAATTACATATGATAAAATAATAATAATAATAAGGATAAGGATTCTTAAAAATATTTTTAGGAAACAACACGTGAGTATTACTGTTATTATTATATATTATGGTGTTTATTTTTACATTCGTGTTTCACTAGCTTAGCAAAATTATAGCCGAGATCTTGCCGCAAATCTAAATATTGCCAAATATGGCTGGGATCTGCTATAACAAAGACGTACCTATAAAAAATAATTAAAATTTTTCTAAAAAAAAGTCTGAAAGCTTTCAGATTTTATATTTTGCCCAGGGGGCAATTTTGTTTTTCAGTTACACACAGATACACATTTACACAGTTCACAAGCATTTGGGCTAATGCCCCCTTGGGCTAAAAATATTTAAAATCAGCATATCTTTAGAATTTCTGATAGGCAATCCTGTATGTTGGAGATAAAAAATGTTTTATTGTGTACAGTGTTACCACTCCTCACTTTGAAATCATTTAGTTTTTTTAATCAATAATTGGCTAAAGTTTTTCTCAAAATATGAAATAGATAATACAACAAATTCAAAATTCAGGCTTCCAGGTGCTCATATTTGGGTATAGGACTATGTTATTCAAAATTTGATGGCTCTAGGTACAGTTTTTTCACAATGCGAGAAACATACATACATTCATGCAGACATTATTATTTTGTTGTTTTGCAATGATTTTTTGAAGTTCTTCAAAATATCATTGCAAAACAATTAATTTTCCATTTTTTATGGAAGAGCTGCAAGGAAAAGTGTCACTAAAGAGTTTGTATTTATCTAGTATAATGAAGATAACTGTTATAATTTTTAATATCATATTTTCACAGCAAAGCAAACAAATTATTAAACTGTGTTCATCTGGCACAAAATTTTCCTTTTCATTTGTCTTTAAATAATCTTTTTTCTTCCTGTGCGTGTGTGTAATGATTTTGTTGTTATGGTGTCAGTAAAAATCTAATGTACATTTCAAATTAGCATATTTGAAAATTAAAGTTGTTGCACATTGATATAGCTATATAAGTACATCATTTCACATATGCACAATGCATAATTAATTTAGATTGTGCATTTGACAGCAATAGGTATTTTAATAACTGTACCAATGATGTTATAAAATAAAAGCTTTGCAAGACATTCAAAATTTGAATTTAATTTTTTGAGGATTTTTTGAGGAATGCTTGAGGAATTTAAAATTCTATTTCAGTGCATGTGAATGCCAGTCTTTGTTTGCAAGAACTGCAAATAAATTTTGTTTTTGGCCTCATATAATTTTGCCGGGCCACTTGCAGCCCATAGATCAAGTATGGATGATTCAAACTAATATCTTATTCCCAGTCTTTTTGTTTGCATTTTTCAATGGTGGACATCCTTGCCAACTTCTTCAGTGATATATGGTTTCTTACTCTGAGAACTGAAGCATTTTTGACTTTGTAGTTATATTTTATAATTTTGGAGAAAGATGTAGAAAGATTCAATTTAACTATTTGGTATTTAACTGGGGTAAATTCTAGATACTCTGGAAGCAAATAACTAATTACAGATATGTTAAATCCACCACATTGAAGCTGACAAGAGATTTACATATTTTCAAAAGAATGCACTGATAATCAGGATTATTGAATGTAATATTTAGAATTTCTTTTCTGTTTCTCAGGAAAGAAATTTTGCACCATTTTTTGAGAAGTTTATTGGCAGTAGTGAGTGATCTAAAAACAACAAACTTTCGGAAATTATGGAAGTTCCAGAATGGATATTAATTTTAAATTGTTTTGATTGACAACACCCTTGTACTGATGCAAGTAATATATCACTTGATATTTCATCTGCAGTTTATGCTGTTAGCTTTAGCAACCATTTGTTTAGGTGCAAGATGGAGACACATTTTTCCCAAGCAGAAATGAAATTTTATAATTGAGCATACTTTGATATTGTTATCTATTTTGTATTTAGATAGCTAATTTTAGTATAATTATAATTAAAATTTTTGTAATTCGCCCCCGTTGAATGCAGCACGAGACAAATTTTAAGAGAAAGCTGTGCCAGAAAAATAAGAATACAGGGGCACGTGCATTTAACAATGAGTAAATGGATTTCTTGGTATTTTGCATTGAAATTGAATAAATGAAATTTAGCTGTAACCATAATTCCATCCAAAATGGAAAACCTGGAGGTGACATAGAATAAAAAAAATACGATTTATTCAAACAGAAACATGACAGCAATAATGGTGCAGTCATTAGTCATCACTGTCAGACATATTTGTAAACACTCACTAGAAACAGTAAACAAAAACGTAAGACACAGAATAAAAGAAATATGTTTTACTCAAACAAAAATACGAATAATGCACAGTCATTACTTTCACCATGTCAGAAACATCCCCCTCTCCAATTGCTCCCCGCTCTTCTCTGAAATAGTATCCTCTTTCGCATACTCTGTCAAGGTCATTGTGGTGATGCCTTCCAAAGCTCTGGGGCACATATATACGCCTGGGGCAGTTAACACATCGACTGAGAAAGGTGGTTAAGCGGTTAATTACAAAGTGTCTGAAATGGATCTGTCACATTACCAGTTTAGAGCCATCATTTATGTTCAGTTCTGTTGGAAAAAGTCAGCTACAGAATGTCACCAAATCATATGTATAGCTTTAGGTACTAATGTTGCATCATATGACACTGAGAAGGTTTGATACCGAAAGTTCAAAAACAAGGGCTATGACATTCAAGAAGCAGAGCGCTCTGGCCTACTGAAGTTCATGAGGTCCACCTCCGAGAACCTGTGGAAGAAGATCAGTATGCAACCACTCGTGAGCTTGTGAAAGAAGATCAGTATGCAACCACTCGTGAGCTTGTGGAAGAAGATCAGTATGCAACCACTCGTGAGCTTGTGGAAGAAGATCAGTATGCAACCACTCGAGAGCTTGCTAAGGATGTAGACATTGTCCATTAATTGCTCTATGCATCGCATAAACTTGATGATGTACAAGTTCAATTGCTGGGTTTAGCATGAGCTGACTCAAATAGATAAGGGCAGATAGATGTGTTTGGGCCTGCATTAATCTGCTCGAATATCAACACAAGGACAAATTTCTGGACCGGATCATCACTTGTGATGAAAAGTGGATTTACTTCAACAACATAGGCCGAAAAGGGGGTTGGTCTGCTCCAGGTGAGCCCGTCAGCAGCGTCGCAAACTACAATTTGACTAATAGAAAGATCATACTTCGTGTCTTGTAGGATTACCATGATATTATCCGCAAAGAGTATCTGGGAAAAGGTAAAATCATCACCATTAAGGTGTATAGCAAGATGCTAGACTTTGTTGATGCTCCTGTCAAGGAAAAACATTGAACTGAATTCTGGTGTGAAAAGGTAGTATTTCATCAAGATAAATCAAGATCACATGTGACTGCATTCACTGGCTGTATGGACTCGAATGAACTTATTAAAGGAATTTCTCATTCTTTATGGACTTGGATGTCCCTACACCCACCATATAGCCCCAACATCGCTCCTTTGGACTTCTACGTCATTTCTCACCTGAAGCTACATCTTGCTGGTGCTATCTTCTATTCTGCACTGAGCATCCGAAATGAGGTTGATCTGTTTTTGGACCTGCGGCCACCAAGTTTCTGGGCCAAAGTGGTGATTAATGCCGGCAGTATTAATCACCGCTTTGGCTCAAGTACTGCTTTCATGCTTTTTTTCTAACTGTATTAAGGACTTTTTGTGATGGAAAACTTTCATTACAACAAGATATTTCCAGCAGTGACAATAAATAAGAATAAAGTTAGAAATCAGTTACAAATTTCCTTAATTAATAGACTTTTCTGTCGGAAGAAAAATTGAAATATTAACGGGCAATGTTACTATTTCTTAACAATTAATTAAAATCGCAAAATCTTTAAAAAATAATGAATGAATGCTTCTAATGCTTTTCCTATAAGAATTCAATGCTTAATTCATGCTTTTCCTATATTCAACTGTACCTATAAGAAGGGCTATACTTATGTAAATAGAATATTAAGTAGCTAAAAATTTAATGTTATATTATGTTAAGCTTTAAAGTGTGACTAACGTTATATGACAAATGTTAAAGTGTTAATTTATTTGATCATGCTAAGTGTTAGAAGAATAATTGGGACTCCTGTATTGTTGATTGATAGCTGTAGTTCATGCTGTTGTGGATGATACAATGAGGAAAGCTTTGTCATTTTCTTTTCATATTTGTCCTGGATATCTTAATTTTGCAGTATTACATTGAGTTTATTTATGATTTAAGGTAGTAATATAATGAAATTTATCGAAATTAAGGGAAAAATACCATTGTTCCTAATATATGTTAAATACAGAATAGTTGTTTGCATGTTATCTAATTTTTTTTTTTAAATATGTGCCAGATTCTTTTTAACATTAATCGTAACTTCTGTGGTATTCAACAAGAATAAATTCTATATTATGTGCATAATTTTCTGAATAAAAGTTCCCTGTAAAATATCATCAGTTAATTAGTATAATTTTGTGAATTAAACACATTGTAATTTAATCTCTAATGAACTGCTTATGAATATTAACTTCTGTTCAACTAAGTTTTATTTTCTTGTAAATTATTTTAGGATCTGATGTTCCTCAATACAATGCTACATATAGCTGTTGGCCAAAAGGACTTGTTTTAATGGAAGATTTTATTACACCTGAAGAAGAATTTAAAATGCTCTCTGTATTTAGTTTTGAGGACTGTAATGGTAAAATATGAATTTTTGCCCTTCTTCACATAAGTATAAATTTGTGTTAAATGTTTTATATTTATACTTAATTTTATCAGCATAATATGGGAAAACTGAATGAGGTTTCACTATGTAATTTTTTTTTCAGTATTTTGTGAAGTTATTAGTTTTTATGAAACAGAAAACTTGAAAAATCTACATGCCCTGATGAGGAATTAAATTCAAGTCCTTCTATTTAGTTGTGTGTTGACTATTATTACAAAAGAACTTATTCAAGGAGTGACTTTTAATTTTATATATTCCTCTCACTTAAAAGGTGACTGATAAAGGCAGTGAAACTCATCTAAACTAAACCAAGCTACAAAAGTCTCAAAATTAGACTCCCATTGTAAATCTATTAAGCATCTTTTGAAATAGGAAACTTGTAAAATTCAACTGTACCTTTGTTAGGAATCAAATTGAAGACTTTTGAATTATTGTGTTGGTGCATAAGTCTGCAATTATTAGCACATAGTTTTCCATGTTGTTTGGTGAGGATTATCATAAACCAATCGATTTCAGCAGTTTTTATCAAAATGAGGTTTTACAACCAAACTCCAAACTGAAGAGGAACAATTGAATAATGAAAAATGAAGGCTTTGCAATGCAGGGTTGTCAACCCATTGAAGAATGGTACAGATTTATGCACCAACCCAGTACTAACTGGATGTGCTGACCACTTACGCTACCAAGATACATGGGAAGAATGCCTTTAATTCTTTACAAGTAGTGAATGTTTTCTCAAAGAAAATCATATTATATGATGGCTTCCTCTACTTTTTCAGTCTCATCTGTATTTTCTTCATTGTTATATGCATGCTTGATTTGTATTCACCATTAATGAAGCATGGAAGAAAGGTATTTTTAGCAAAAGATTAAATGATTAAAGATAAATTATGTGAGAAAGATACTTTTGTGTGATAAATGCAGAATCAATTTTTTACAAAAAATTCTTTGTAATTTAATTAAAAAAATTTCCCTTTATTAATAACTTCAAGTTTTAAAGATATATTTTAGCAGACTTCCAAGTTTTTTTCCCCCTTATATATTATCTCATCAACCACAAAACTGTTGCCAAGTAATGTGATTAGCACCAATTATGGAGATAAGCATGGCATAACAACCTGCTCATAACATCTGCACTTTCATTTGGTGTAACCCTGTTTAATAGATAAGTTATCTTTTGATTTTATGAAGAAGGCTATAAATTAACTGTTATTGCAATACGTTTTCTTGCATTTTGGAGAAAAAATACAATTTGGGACTTGCCTTTTACGGAACAGGAAGCAGTAGATTATTTTCAAAGTTATGGGATCCTACCATAAAAAATATGTATATTAATGGAAAGGATTAGTTTAAAAACAGATGAACTATGGTGATGCAGCATTTGTGAGTGTGCTTTGGTTTATTTACAGCTGGACAAGAAAATTAACTTTCGTTCAATAGAGAAGAGAACTGTTGGATGTGGTTGGCAAAACAGAAATAGATTAGAAAAATTTCCTGTGGGAAGCTTGCACTCATGGCATTCTAAACAGAGCTTGTAGGACAGCCTGACAAAATAGAAGAAATTAAATAAAGCCCCCTTTTTTTTTCAAAGTACTAAAATAAAGTGTGTCAAATACTGATTTTTTATTATAAAGAGGCCTTCCTTCAGAATTCCATAGGAACCTATAGTTCCATAATACAACTTTAGTGACATCTTCAACAACATTCATGATGTGATGGTAGCCAACTTTCATGGTCAATAAGATAATATAAGTACCTTTTAAAAAAATATAGTACCACAATATACATATGTAGGAATTTGGTGCTGAATTATCACATCTTAGTTAAAATTTTCTCACATGTTTTCACCTAATCACATTTGATAAATCTTTACGCACAAATTTTTCAGTTTATGTGAACTTCATAAGCGAGTTGAATGTTGTACATAAACTTAGTTTTAAGTACTCATTTAACATGCTGAAAAATGTTAATCTGTAATAAAAGTTCATGAAGTTTCACATCTTACATAGTGCTTCACATCTTGTGCTGTGTGATGTAAGACGAGGAGCTCAGGACCTCCATGCACTTCTTAGGGCTCTATGGCGACTCAAGAAAGAGAAAATAAAAAGTTGAATGAACTTAAAGTTGTGCCATAGTTAGTAAAATTAAACTGGAATTGTCTTAGTTAATAAATAATAAAAAATTTTGAACAACAAGTAATAAATCAATACAAGGTGTCTCAATGCTGACTTACCAATTTATAGGAGATACCCTCTCAGTATGTGCCTTAGCATTTACCACAATATTTTTCTATGCTGCATGACTTTGTGTCACATGAAGTTTTATTTAGCCATTATGTGAATTGAAGTTTCCTTTTCTTGCAAATCATGACTCATTTGTGAACATTACAAAAACAGGGAAAAGCAAACTGTGGCTGAAATCATTGTGCAGAAACAATCTGAATTACATTATCATCTGTTTCAAGTGCTTGGGCATGCTTTGCATAATATGGATGCATTCCATTTCTGTAAAAATTTTGTTGATATTGCAGCAGGAAATCTTGACTTTGTGTGCTGTAGCACATGCATGTGAGCTTAAAGTATTTTGTACATGATGCAGCATAGTCTCCTTAATGCCAAGAGTCTGTCCCCAGGACTGATTTCATGTCATGTTCCTGACACATGTCAGTCATAGAGGGAATCTGTTTCTACTAACCTATGGTGCAAAAAGTGCAGGCATGTTAAAATTAATGGCCATAATTATGCTTTATTGGATAATATTTCCTGTATAATAAATGTACATCTCTCCCATTATATTTCACAACCCCAGATAACTATGCAATTGCCCGTCCTACTACTTCTGCATCCATGCATAAAATGAAGCTTTCCTGTAAGAATGCTCAGACCAGACTCTCCATTCCTCTGTGATTCTGAATCATCCAGGTGCCTGTCCTCCCACAAATTTGAAGGTATGGTATACAGAGAGATATATATATCTGAATATCTGAATTGAAGTGGATGTGATGATTAAATTGGAGGAACTAAGTTTGTTGTATGGACAATTTTTTATTGTTGTTTTCATTGATAGTGTAAAATCTATTGTAATGCAAATGGTTTGATTTATTAAACTTTGATAGAACATTCATGGGCAGCCAGCTTTTGATAGTATCATGTGCTGATTTAGAAGTCAAACAACAAAATTCAGTGTTATATTTGCAAATTTTTACAGGACTAGTTTCAATGGTTTTACTGAACCATCATCCTCAGCTGCCAAAGCGCAAATGAACGAGATAAGATACAGTGATTAGATAAGATAAGAATGGCTGCACAAGAGTTAAGCTACTCGGGCCATCTTTTGATGAAACGGGAACTAAAACATAATTTCCTTAAATCCTCATTTTAATTCTTGTTTCATTGTTGACATAATTAGACCAAATTACTCGTAGATTAATTAATTTTGTTGACTGTAAGAAAACTGAAAGGTGTATCAGGTTCTTTTAATTAATACTTAAATTATTATATTATTTTGTAAATTGGTTTAAATTAATAGTAGTTTAGAATTTACTCCTTTTTTACACTTAAAATAAATTTTTAGGTATTTTTATATTTCTGTGGTTTTAAGAAGCAGTCGATTCAGAGATGAATGCGTTAATTTCAACCCCACGATCAGAGGAAAAGATTTTGATTCCAAGAAAATAAAATTATGAAATCAAATGCTGAAATATATTTAGCATTTTAAAAAATAAATGACTAGTTTATTAGCAACAATATTATTCCTATTTAATTTAGTAATTTGGAAAAGATTATTTAAAAATAAATAGTAATTTTGTAAAAATTCCAAGATACCAAATTTATTCCAAGATACTGTATGATTCTAAGGCACACTTCTGTTTATTCGTATGTATAACAGAAAAAAGGTGCATCTTTGATTCGAAGAAGTATGCTTTATAAATGATATGAGAAATTTATGAAAGCAATAGGAGTATTTATAAAAGGAGTATTTTATTAAAAGCGGTATTTATAAAATACTTAAAACATTGTCTTAGTGTAGTACAAATGGATAAAAACGTCATTATATATCTATTTTTGTATGAATGGTTTTTACTGTCAAGAAATATTAATGTAGTATGTATTATTTGCGATTTATTTCAGATAAGGCTGTTTTGAAGCACAGAAAAGTGAAGCATTATGGTTATGAATTTATTTATGGGAGCAACAATATTGATAAAAACAAATGTCTGGATTCAAAAATCCCTACTATCTGTATGCCTCATTTAGAAAAATTAGTTGCCCTAGGTTATATTCCAAGAGTTCCAGATCAACTTACTGTCAACCACTATTTACCTGGGCAAGGTAATATAAAAAAAACTATCAAAAAGTATTAGGATATACAATGTTATGTATTGTACAAGGTAACACAAGAAGTTTGCCGTTTTGGACAGTCAGGAAGAAAAAGTCATAAAACAAATAATAAAGTAATCACCATCGGCATCCAGTGTCTTTTGCCATTGAGTAGCTGCCTTTGGGATGACATCACAGTAAAACTCAGGAGTCTTGGATGCAAAGAAGTACGTGAAAGCCACTTTGAGGTTTGGTCCACTGGATGCCCCCCCCGAGGCACATGCGGCTTCGCATTGTCATGGAGGAGGACTACACCAATATGAATGACCAATGCTGGCTCTTTATGCATCAGTGCATGATGCACACGTTCCAAATGCTGCAAGTACAGGTCTGCTGTGATGGTTTGGCCTACTGTCAGGAGCTCAAGGTGCACCATTAGATGACTAGTCAACCAGATAATGAGTATGATCTTGCGTGGGTGGAGAGAAGGTCTCAGTGTGAAGCACAGGGCTCCTGGGTGACAACCAATGTCTAAAATGCCTGGGTGTGTCATACTGGACCCAATTTTCACCGCTAGTGAATACACAATCAACTATGGATGCATTGTGGTGCCAAGTAAGCAATGACAAACTGAGAGCAACATGCTGTTGCTTGTTTGCATTGAACAGCGAATGGGGTACTTGCTTAGCTTGTATGCCGTTCCTATGTGGTGCAAATGTAGTCTGATTGTTTCAACAGATACCTGGAAGTGGCCAGCAAGCTCATCAAATGTTTGGCTACTGTCACTCTCTATGGCTGCTCTCAGGGCCTCATTGTCCAACATTTACAGCCGACCGCTGTGTGTTGCGTCATTTATCAGACATATCCCCTGACTTCTGGAACCATTACCTGGTGCTTCCTTTGTTAATGTAATCATCCCCAAAGATCTGGCAAATTTGGTCACTTGATTCTGCTGCTGACAGGCCCACTTTAAAATCATACAGCAAACAACTCCGAATGAGTGCCTTTGATGCGCCCATTTCAATCAGTCACTGTGTGAGTCACGTTATGTTTGAAGTTCCGATGCAATATGCTTTTATACTTTAGTTTAATGTCCAGACTCTCATCCTAACGACTTTATCGCCAGGTTTGGTGACTGTTTTTATGTTGGGGTTTACTCATCCAATGTCATATCAGAAACAGTGAGAACTTTTTTGGTTACCTTGTACATAGTATTTATTTCTTCTTTTGTCATTTTAATAATGTTATTCTGTTAAACTTCCTTTTTGTTACTTTTGCATGAGCTAAATTTACAAAGAGGTTAAAAATAGACATATATTCTGTGTTTTTATTAAATGCTGTTTAACATCAGAATTAAAGAAATATGTATTAATGATTGAGGAGATAGCAGTATTATATACCATTTAATGTAATGAATGTATGTAATAGAAATTCATATTCACCAGTTATAGTACTTTATAGAAATTTTCATATACGTTATAGAAATTTACAAAAAATTATAGAAATTTATAAAAAATACCTTGTAGAAATTTCATTCAGTAATATCATTTGTTATATATAAACAGTTTATACTGAAGATTAAAAAATTTAGTTCTATTTAATTTATGCAAATATATTCATTCTGTAAGCCTAAGGTGTAATCAGAGATTCAAGGGGGGAACTTTAATGCAATTAGATTACTTTTATTATATTTCTAAAATTCCATGTTCTTTTTGATAATATTATTTATATATTTTTTTTATTTGTTTTATTATTTTAGGTATTCCTCCACATGTCGACACACATTCCGCTTTTGAAGATGGAATTATTTCTCTAAGTTTAGGTTCTCAGGTATGATGTTGTATCTAAAGGCTTTTCATGCCACAGATCTTTCTTGAATTTTCTAGAAGCTTATGTCCTATATAAATACAGCTGAGTGTTATAATTGCTGTTTTAGTCGTTATTCAACTTTGACATTTAACTGAACTGTGAGTTTACTGTGCAAGTGATTTTGGCAGGCAATTGCCAATATTTCTTGTATGATAAGGATGAACGAATGATCTTGTATGATATGAGGAGAAACTGTTTGTGTCTTTGTTCTGCTTAAGCTACTTAAATTTATATTTGTAATTAATTTTATAATAAATTCTTAATTTTGTTCTATTATTCAAAGCGATCATTCAGAGAGATATAAATGAACTGATAGTTCGCAACAATGCTATAATTAAGTTAAATCAGTTTTCTACTACTAATGCAACAATTAAATAAACAGAAACCAAATTCTGATTACTTAATACATTAATTAAAATCTTCAGCAATTAAAGTGCTTGAATTTGGATGACAACTTTTTTATGAATGTACTATGTTAAAATACTACAAATGCTAATGAACAAACATTATCATATGTATTCTTTGTACTCTTTGTAAAATATTTAATATGCATTCATTGTGTTTAAAAGTAAGTGAAGCCTCATTTCGTGAATGTAAATCATTCGTAGAGGCCATTTGTTACCAGAAATGTTCATAATCTAAAGCTGTTTTCCTCTTAGAAATTAATGTAAAATGCTATTAGACATTTCACATAATGGATCACAGGATTACACTTCTGGATCACAGATGATTGCTTATTTAAGCTTTGCGACTGTTCTTTGTGTACAAGTTCACAATACAAAATCAGTAGAAATCATTAAATATAAGATAAAGAGACAGTAAAATGAAGCAGTTAACATTGAAAACTTAATTTAATTTTACATTATGTGCAAAATAGAATGAACAGTGTAAGTGAAGAGTGATGAGTAAGAGAAAGGAATGAGATGTTAAGGACTCTGAATAAGGAGTCCTTTTTCATAAAAATATCAGGTAACTAACTGTGTCTCTAGGGCATATTCTTTGATCATTTCTTTGTCTCGTAGCATCACTGAACTCTTCTTGAGAGTCTCTCAGCCTCCATTTCATTCAAATTTTATCTAATATGATTTGTTGTTGCCTATGCTTTAAAATATTTCTAAAGTTAGACATTGTTGTTGAATATATTTGTGCTGCATCTTGTTCTGCTTTATCAGGGTGATATTGTTACAGGGAAATTTTACAACTTTCCTTATCTTGCACACATATTTCTGATTAAAAACTAAGATCATATTTTCTTCCATTCTCTTGCTGTGACGACATTTTCTTTGCAATCACTTTTAATTATAGCTTCTGAAGTTATTTTGGTTATTTCTTGTTGAGTTTACTTTTATGCAGCTTTCACATCTTCATTGTTAACTTCTAAGCCCATGGCTTTTTCGAGAGACACAATATCATAAATAACAAAAGAATTCATCAGAATCAAAGCCCACAAGTTATTTGGCTGCAGCACAGTTTGTCCATAATTTGTATGAGACCGAACTCATGGTTCTGTAAATCGCTTTCTGCTGGTCTTTGTTAATGAGATTTAACCTCTAGAATGAGAAAAGGGGTAGAGGGGGCAAGGGAGGTCTGTCCCAGGCAGCACTGTTTGGGGATAGCATTTTTCACATGAAATATAATTCCATAAGGGTTAGTCATCTGGATTGTTGAAGCCGAAAAAAACATTGGGATGTAATGAATTATTGAAAAAGTTGTTTACAATGGACTTAGAAACTTGAAAATGGCTGATATGAAAATGCCACTGGCTCATAGGCATATTATATATAGAGTAATCCATTAAAATACTTATGCAGCTTGTCTGGTATGTGGGATTTACGGATCTATTGGTTTGATGATCTATTGGTATTTAGCTGTTTTATCCATTCAGTCATTGATGAGGTGAATTGTTGTATGAAATGGAATTGAGGTGGGAATTGTTCTTATGCTGTACAGAGTATTCAAAAAAATCACAATGAAATTTCAAGAGCTTTATGTTTTTTCTATGCCTTTCTTACTCCACTGAAAGTTTTGGCTGAAAAAAATGAAATCCAGTTTTTGACAGTTTATTATAAAATAGCCCTCAAAATACAATTCCAAATATTATACTACTACAATGAATTTTCCTTACAATTGCTGTAAGTGTTGCTTGTTGTGTGGATTTTTCTAATTACAAATTGATCAAGAATGAGTGCTGCATTTAAGGAATTTTATTGTACTGTCAACAGAATACTTGCTGGAGTAATGAAACTTCTTAGAATATCATTGATGATTTTGTTAACAGAAAAATGAGCAGCATAACATTTTAGAATAAATTTTTATTATTATTATTATTTTTATTAAAGAAAAAGAAATCCTCGGCACCACAAAGTATCACACGAGACTTACCATCGTAAGTAAAAAGCAAAATTCTAAGTAATAACATCAGTTTTCATAATACAATGAAATCATACACAAAGAAAAAAAACACAAAAAGTAAATACAAAGTATAAATGTATAAAAAATCATTTACAATGTTTAAAATAAAAGTCAACAAAATCATTGAAAGCTCGGTTGCCCGAATCCAAAGATCCAAAATTATAACATTTCGGCGGCCAATGAATTCCAATTAATTTTAATCTGCATTTCAGTAGATTTCATACTTTATCAAGCAATGGGCAGTTAAAAAGCAGGTGGAAAACACTTTGCTGAACGCTAAGATTGCAATAACACAAATTGGAAGATGTCAGCTTAAATCGTTCAAGATAAACATTAAACTTACCAGTCCGACAAAATTGCGTAACTTTAAATTGAGCAACAAGTTCCTACTTTTCAGTCTTTCAAAAATAGTTGGAAAGAATGTTTTTGTAACAGATCCCTTATGAGAAGAGATATAATCACATTCCACTGCTCAATCATTTTAGCTTTGAATGTTTTTTTAAAATAAGATTTTGGAATATTTACATCAACATTAATATCATTTTTAGTTGCATTCTTAGCAAGCCAATCAGCTCTCTCGTTTCCATAATTACCCGAATGACCACGAACAAATGTAAAAAACACTGAAATACCCCTCTCCAGATCTCCGAGAGACTGCTGTATATTAACAATAATATCATTACATAAAGAGGTATTTTAAAGGGATTCTAGGGAAGAGAGTGAATCCGTACATATTAAGTAGCTGGAACAATGTCCATCCAGGCTAATTATCCACTTAATTGCAAAACTAATACACAGAAGCCCAGAAATATATACAGTACATTCATTTCTCATGCGAAATTGATGACACTCAATTTCAATGTCATCTTCAAAAATAACATAAGCAAAACCAAACTTTATCATCAATCCTACTACCATCCGTATACAACACAAGTAAGAATGAATTTACATCAGTATCCATACTATGCAGAATCAGTACTGGTTGTATTACAGAAGGATGTGGGAGAACAGACAAGGGCAATAAACGATCAAAATGAGAACTGGAGTAGTTTGCAAGACTATTCTTGTAATCTATAAAGGTCAAAATGAAAAAATTCCAGTGGTGGAAATCCAGCAAGAGAAAAAATAGCATTGTAACTAATAGTTTGGTAACCCTTTATAACTTGCAGTAAAATTCGTCTTTGAACTCGAAGCAGGTGTTTAGAGTTAATTTTCTTTTTTAGAGACAATCCCCAAGCTCTACATCCATATGAAATAAAGGGTACAATACCTTGTTTATAAATAATTGCGCTAACATTCAATTTAACACCAAAACTATTACAGCAATTCGATTCAGCCCACGCTGAAGTCTCACATTTATTAGAAATGTAGGAAATATGCTTTTTTTTCCCAGTTTAAATTGCTGTCCAACAAAACACCTAAATATTTAATTTCATTCACCCTCTCAAGGGAATTGTCATTTAAAAGTAATTGATATCCTTCATAAGTAGTAGTTTTTCTATCAATAAACATGGTCTTGGATTTTTCATGGTTAAAATTTAACTTAAAATCCATTGACCAATCATAAATGAAATCTAAAACATCTTGGGCAAGATGAAAAGCTTTTTGCATTTCTTTTCCTTGAATACAAATCAACAAATCATCTGCAAAGGCAATGACTTCACAACTGAAGAGATCAGAAAGTTTCTGTAAGAGATCATTCATAATAATAATCTAAAGCTTGGGACTGGAAACAGAGCCTTGTGGACATCCTCCGTGAGGTCGAAGAACACTTGAGGTGCCACCCAAAAAAAAAGCTCGACCATCCTGTCTTTCAGCAAATCAGAAACAACATTAAATATATTATGAGGTATTTTCATTTCTTTTAGTAAATTAAGAATAGCAGGCCACCATGGAATATCGAAAGCTCCTTCATTATCAAGAAAAATTAAAATAGTGTACAAACCTCTCATCTTGCCCCTCTGTACAATGTTGCTAAGACGCAGAAGTGCATCCTCAGTACTTTTTTGAGCAATGAAACCATATTGGTCAGCACTAAAAATATTTTCTTTATGTAGATGCCAAGTAATTCTGTTAGTAATTAGTTTTTCAAAGCATTTACCTAAAGAAGAAAGAAGACAGATACACCTAAGATTATTCACATGCGTGGAACACCAAAGGTTTGTTTCTTGGGTATCACAATAACGAGGGCGTTTCTTCCAAGTTCATGGAAAAGCATCAAGATTCAAACATATATTAAATAATCTATGAAAAACTGCTGGAAAAAGCCGATGAAAGTATCTTATAGTTTCATTGGGAATAGAATCCGGGCCAGGAGCCCTGCCAAGCCTTAAATTGACGAATTACATTCATCAACTTCGGCCTGCGAAAAAGGAGGATCAATCTCAGACGCATAATTACTGTGAGCAGATGAGCGCCACTGAGTATGAAAGTCATTATCAAACCTCACACAATCAGGAGGAAATACTATATCAAGAATAGCATCGACAGTTTTCTGCAAGGAAGACGTAAAGTTATCGCTTGAAAGCCGTAGGCCTGAGATCTCATTC